TGAGAAGGCTAATGCTGCCGAAATCTTACCTTTATGATAGTCAATTCCAGTGAGTTTCAAAATGAAAAAGAATTCATTGTTATATTTCTAGCCAGCCTTGCCTTAAGTTTGTCCACATTCAGAACCTGTAAAAAATACATTTATTATAAAATTTGCAATTTTATTTCCTAGTTCTATAATAAAAACAAATATTTATTCTATTCTAAAATGAGTTAAGAGAGTCATTTGTTTTTAAAATACCTGCCTAAAATGATTTAGTATCGAAAGTTTAAAAGTAAGCCTCTTGGATACCAAAATAATTTTCCAGCTTCATAAAATTACAACAAATTGGTCAATGAGATCGTGATTCTTAATCTTTTTAAAAGTCTTTCAATTACAAAGCGGCGGACTTGAATTCTCTTACTAGAAGACTTTAATTTCTTAATTAATTCATTTGATATGTAGCATCATTCTTGTTCTAAGTATGTGCAAGGAGCCGCCTAAAAGCCTCAAGTATTCGCCTTAGATCAGTAGCTGAGTGCACTCGAGCTGTCTTGCCGGCACCCTTATTCCCCAACTAAGTGCTGAGGCACTCGTAGCTCATTGCGGCTTGCGACCACAGCCCAAACAAATGGCCTAAAAGCCTTCGCACGCTTCAAATGCATGTTCACACATTACTCAGGGCGGCCACAAATGTGGCCAGGCTTTGGGTGGTGCCTGGCAAAGTGTTTGAACTGGACTTGAGCCCAGGCTGTAGATGACGGGCGGACGGGGAAGAGGCAGCCTTTTTGCGGGTCCAGGCTGCAAATTGGAATTATGAATTATGAATGCGTGGTTAATAAAAAGAACGGCCGCAGCAACGACAAGACAACAGACAAGGAAAGACAAAATGCTGAGGAGAAGCCCAAAACACAAACACACACACACGCAATCATACAGAGAGGAATTCATAAAGCAAGTGGGTTCGTCATGCTAACTATGCTGGGGCAGAAATGCTAATGCGTTCCTCGTTGCGCTCGACTGCCTATTTTCCCAGCACTCAAACGAAGCCGAAGATGCAATCCGGCCAGTCAGCCAGTCAGCCAGCCAACCAGTCAGTGACCAAGACAATATGGTCGACTGAACTGAAACAAAGCAGAAAAGCGCAAAGTGGCGGCGGCAAAGTTGTGGCTAAGACTACACTCAACAAAAAAGCTTGCCCCGAAAACTGGCCCCAATTTAGACTCACTCTGTTTCCTAAAACGGTCACCCCTTTTTAAGTATTTTTTTTTGGTCACGATTTATTTTTAAACAAGTTTTATAAAAACTATAAACTAATTTTCGAATAATTTTCAATTAGTTTTCTAAAAATGTTAACTTTCCCTTTTTAAATTTTAAAACTCATTTCAAAAAACAGGAGAAAAGTTTTTAAATCAAACTTACTTATTTCTCCAGAAAATGTCGAATTAGACGAATCTTTCTAAAATTAGTCAGATTTTTAAAAATACTAGTGTAAGTTATTTTGCCAAAATTCGGAATAATTTATTTGTAATGCATCTTGACAATGGACCTCCACGGCCTAAGTGCAGGGATATTACCATTTACAATAACCACCTTCTTTAATGCCTAAAACATTTTTACAAAATATAAACTTTTTTTTTTGTAACAGGTGTTTTATATTTGCAATCTGTTCTAATGGCCAATCAGTAAATGAAAATGGAAGAACATTGGCAGTAGGATTTTGTATTATGTGTGACGTAGTGGGGAGATGGGTTGATAGGGGTGAGGAAGTTTAGTTTGTGCGATGGGGTGGTATCTTCTTAGACGGCGGATGGAGGTGCTGTTGTCAAGCAGGTTAATGGTGAGGGGATTGTTGTGCCTGTCCAGTCGCTCCATGTCCATTCTGCTCAGCCTGGTAATCTCCTCGTGAACCCATGGGACTCCGAGCTCGTTCTGAATCTCCACGGTTGGAGATGATTCTGAGCGCTTTGTTTTGAAACTTTTGTATGATATTACCCAGATCGGAATCCCATAGGTCCTCATATAAACTTATTAACTAAGCACTATAGCATAGTCTGTTTTTCGAAAAAAATAACCAGACAAGATTAGATAAGTTATTGTCCAACTGTCCACCACTAGCATACAACAGTTTATAAATTGGTGTGACAATCTAAAGATATTACATTTTCGATTTGTTACCATTCAGAAGCAAAGGGTTTTTTTCTTCTAGAAAAAATAATGTTTTTTTTTTCAGTGTATGACTGGACAGCTCCAGCATCTAGTTGGCCAAGTGTGTGGCAGAAAGCGAAAACCCCTACGCAATAATTTTGTTGTTAAGCCGCACATGCATGTGTGTTTGCGGGTTGCCTCGACGGCAACAACAACTACAACCACCACTAGTGGCTTTGGTCACTTAAGTACTTAACACTTTTTGCTAATTGCGCTGCGCATATTTCCAACATGCCCACATTTCTGGACTAAGCAGGCTTATACAAAACATCACAGCAGGCAGCATCAGCTTCAAACGCTTCCACACAGCATATTGACGAGAGCTGCTGTTGTTGTTGTTGTCTTTGTTGCCTTTGTTGCTGCTGGGCTGACAAGAAGGCTGACAGCGGCTCAAAAACAAAAAACTTGGCAACAACTTTACGCCACAATTATTAACACGCCTACTACCGAGTTTTCTTGTTCATTTTGTTGACTCTGCCGCTGAGCCTTCGGAGCATCGTATATATATATATATATATATATATATATATATATATATATCTGTATATATAGTAAGTAGTTGCGCTCTTGTTCTTCTTCGACTTTATGCTTTGTGTGTTTTGCCATAAAATATGGCAACAAATGGCTTCTGGGTCAGTTGAGCACAGTAGTTGATGCTTACGAAGCAAACTAAAGGATGGTCTTCAGTGGATGTTTTGGCAAAGACTTCCTAGAAATATCCATGAGTTACGCCCTTAGTGGCACGCATCGAACAGCCCGTGCTGGGCAAGTTTTTCTGCTTCCCACAATACTGACCTCAATACGAAATAATGACCATGTCATGATATGTAAATACATTGCAATGCCCAAAAGCGTATCCCACACCACAATCATAAAAACGGATGCTCTTGTTTGTTGACGAATACAACATACCCTAGAGTTTAATGTTTAATACAGAATAAATATGATGAATGTGATTAAAGTTCTTGACAATGCTGATATATGTGTAGAATATTTATAGAAACTGAAGCCGTTAATTTTATTAAGTTTCGTTTCAAAGTTCTATGAATCCATCATAATTACAATTACAATTGCGAAACCAATATACATGTGTATTATTTTTATATCCTGCATTACTAATTGTTTTGAATCCCAATCCCAAAAACCTAATGTAAGCTTTGTGTACATTTCTCAATACTGAGGAAGATTTCTAGTTGGTGGAGGATTTATTGTGAAAACGAACGGTAACATTATAGGTAGCCGCTGAGTTGTGCCTTAAAATTCGGTACTCGCTTACATAAATGGAGCTCTGTAAAGTATATGAAGTACATTTCCAAATATTTTAAGAGAACCAGAGAAATAAGAAGATAACTTTTGAATTTCCTATATAGTATTACGCGATTTCTGCTATCATATGTGCAACTCATAAATGAAATAAATTAATTGTCAAGTTTATTTAACCAGTTTTAAATAAAAACACTTTGCTAATACAATAAATGCAATTAGAAAATAACAAACTTATTTACCTTCACCCAAAACTTTAAAACCCATTAGTTCAGAAGCTAAGCAATCCATTTATACTAAGCTTAAATATAGTAGCAGCTTATGGCATTCACCACTTTGCTTCTAGAAGAGGAAGTGTCTTCCTATTTTAGTTAGAATATTAAGAAGTTTGAAAGATGAAAAGCGGTAGACCACTGTACAACTGAAAATTACTAAATGTTATTACTTCTTATTTATGTTCAAATAAGTGTGGAGAACAAACTAATCTTTTAGCCTATAACGACCTATTGTTTGACGCTGCACGTATATTAGACGAGTACTGATTATTTCGGTCATGACTGTAAATCAACAAACGAATGGAACCAGCCCATTCAGTCCAAAATTTGATGGGTTTAAAACAAATTGGATAATTTCCATTCACAAATCCCAAGCTTTAAACTACCTAAAGCAAACTGTGTTGAAGTAATTAACCGATTCGTGCTCATAAAAAAGTTATGCTATGATTCGTATATACTATTCGTAGTACAACTTTATTTATAGGAACTTTTATTAGTGCGTTACAAGTTTCTCAACTCAGTCAAAAAGCTCTTTGTAAGCGTATGGAGGAGGCAATATTTTCAGCATAAATAAAGACGAACATTGGAGAAATTTACATGCCACATGTAACTGCACTTTTTTTGGCCATGGGCCATGGGGCATAAAGCATGAAGCACAAAGCATGAAGCATGCAGTGCGGCAGCCCACATGCAAATCCAAATGGTTCGACAGCGGACATCGATCGCAGTGCAGCAACGCCTGTTTTATTTATTTTGGCTCTGGCTGGCTTTTAATAACATTTTCTTGTAATTGTAATTTGTTGGCATTGTCCGGCCATTGGCTGCATGGCTGCATGTCTGGCTGTCTGTGCCACACATGCCCCAAAACTAACCAAAAACGAAACCGAAAAATCCATAGCCCCACACACGTGTGTGTCGTCTGCCGCTTTGTCGGTGCTTTTGTGCACCTAAGCAGAGCCAAATGGGTAACCTTTTCTCTCTTTGTGCCAGCCTGACTGCCAGCCTGTGTGCCTGACTGCCTGCCTGCCTGCATTTTGTCTGCCCACCTAAACATCATTAATAAATTTGCCTTTGTGGTGCTGGTGCTGATGCTGTTGTTGCAACAACCTTTTGTTGCAGTTGTTGTTTGTGTTTGTTCCTGCCTGTCAGTATTAATAATAATAAACAATGCGAGTATGTGGCCACAAACAAAGACAAGACCAAAGACTCTATAGTTGTCTCACCCTCCTTCTTCTTCTTCATCTTCTTCTTATTTTTTTCATATTTTTCTTGCAGAGGCGTCCAGTGTCACGATACCGTAAACGGCGCACAGTGTGATTCCTGTCCAGTGGGCTATGAAGGTGACGGACGCACATGTTCCATACGTAATCCTTGTCTGGACACGCCATGCCCCTCAGGTAAGTCATTTAACTGCCACAAATGTGAGCTGCGCGGTTTGTTTGAATTTTTGATTAGTCTCAACTGAGGGTTTCCTTCTTTACCATTCGGTTCAACTTTGGGGAATTCGTTATTGAAAAATTACCGAAATTTATAATGAAAATGTCTAGAATGTATAGCTAATAACAAAAATTAACAGATGCATACAAATATTTGGATAATTTATTTAAAATGTTGGGAACCTGAGGCAGTCAGGCCATGAGTGTAATATCAGAGTATCAGAGGAATTGAAGAGTTATGGATTTTCGTCATCTCATTTATATTCAAAGCAATATAAAACTAGAACTGTTTTATATAAGTCAATTTTAAAATAAAACGATTATAAAATAAAACACAGTATTATTGGGAAAGGAAAAACATTTTTAAAATACAATTATTTTACGAATTAACAGCAATACAATATTTTTGACCCAATAGACTGCAACTCAGATAAACTAGTACTATACAAGTGTTTTACAATATAATTGGTTGATCCTGCGATTTTCATTAAAATTTTTGGAATAATGAAATGATGTTTCTCATTCCGTATATAACGGTATATGGACCGGATGTTTCGAAAGAGTTGAAAACATTTCTATATCAATATCAATTCGTCGATTGGACAGAGCACACATTAAATTATTAGTAGCATACTTTTGGGTTAAGCTTTTTGCTTTTTCTGTCCATGCCAGTTTTTTAAAGAAACTTGTTGTACCCTATACCTCAAGGCTTAAAGGGGATATTTGAAAGTGTTTACTTCAAATTAATAAATGGCAGACTCTATGTTGAAGATACGAGCACATGATCTGCGAAAAGAATCGATGTAGACCTGTCCGTCTCTTCGGCCGTCTGTTTGTGCCTCTGTAGACATCGAGAACTTTTGAACCAGCTGAGAACACAAAACTTGTTGAGAAAATTTGGAGAGATTTTGGAATCATGTTATTTTGAAACGTTTTAAAAATTAGAACGTTCATAATCAAGCTTATTATTTAGTATGTGTTTTCCATTGTGCCTATCCATAATCTGTTTTATCAAACTCTGTGAACTATATCTCTTAGGAGTGATTGGTACAGCTCAGCTTTAGCAGATCAACTTCAGCTTAAGCTAGTCTGTGAATCCATATGCTCTTTCAGTTTTAAAGTAGCGCACACTATTCACACGACTATTTGATTTATTAATGCGCAGTTCGAGCTGATACACAAACATCTGGAAACCCTTTATCAGAAACCCTCGAAAATTATAGTGCCGCCGCAATTTTCCAATGAAAGTGTGAAACAAGGCTGCTAATTAGGGTGAGGTTTCGGGGCTCGTTGGGGACTCGCAGCCCAGGTAGTATGGTAGGCGTTGCCAACAAGTTGCAAGTTGGCGTGTCGGAATGTCGTGCCTTATTTCAACATCCGGTCAAGCCATATTTGCTAATTGAATTCGGCAAAAGATCAAGGTAGAATAGGCGAAACCACACAGCTGACTCATGACAAACTACTCGTATTTATTATATTATTTGTATCAATGCTCACCTTTATTGTTGTTGTTATTATTAGGCAACCTTTTAGTGCCCATGCAAAATGTGCAGCACTATCAGAGGCAGTACACAGCGCGCAAATACTCGGTGATTACGAACTAGGAGCGACAGTTTTGAGCAGTGCAGAGACAGCGTTGTAATTTTAATTCTAATTTATAAATGCAAAATTTGAACAAGCAAAAGTAAAATGCTGTGGTCAGACGGGCACTTAATTTGCACACAAACCTATCGTACTTAAATTAAAAGCAATAAAAAGGCTAAACTAAAACTAGTTTCAAGCTACAAAAAACTACTTTGAAATTGAATTTTGTTTGCAAATAATTTGTGTGTCTGACAATGGTTTAAAAGCTACGATCAGACTTTCAAACCTTAAAAGTAAATTTCAATTAAAAACAATATAGTAAGAAGGCTAAACTGAAAGCTAGTTTCAAGCTATAAAAAACTACTTTGGATTTAAATTTTGTCTGCAAATAATTTGCATGTCTGACCGTGATTTAAAACCTATACATAAAATAGTCATAAGTTGTAAGCTCCAAGTTGAATTTCAAAGTATTATTTACTTACCAAGAAACAAAAATTCATAATCACTGTTTAAATTGTAGTTTAAAATAAGCATAACACTGATGATAATTATACAAGTACTAGCAATTCTAAGTATCAAGAAAATGCCAGAAAGTGGAGTTTATAAACGTGTACCGAAAAATTTGCCATCCCTCCTCTGTAATGCTTCAAGAAAAAACAAAAATAAAATATGCCGAAAATTTATTTAAAAACAAAACCAAAAAGCAGTTGTTTTATTTTTTTGGAAAACTGAATCGGAAACTTTTGTCAAATTTCTCGTCCACGACCGTTGGACGTTTGGATGCGCTGGTAAAACTACTTTTTGGTAAATGAAAATTTGTTCTTACATCTCTCTCCCACACTACACTGTACTTTGTATGTATGCCTATTCAGAAACCATTTTATCACCTGTCTAATTCGAAATTCATTGCGCCTCATGTCTATACACTGCCATTTTCTGGTCATGCGTCGGAGAACGAGGAAGTAGAAAACATACTAACCATAGAGCTTAAACGATCAATCAATTTACTTGCCATCACCCCATCGTACACGCTTCTTCGCACTCAGCCTCACTTTTATTGCCCATAACCCCACTTTTTGCATAGCTTAACATGCAACTTAAATCAATCGTAACTCCCAGTTAAGTTTAACTCTCATTCATGCCGTTGGCGCTTCATTTCTGCTATCTTTCATTTCATACAGGCGTCGAGTGCATTCAAATGGGCTTCCCGCCTTACTTCCAATGCATTTCATGTCCACGCGGCCTAAAAATTAATGGCAGCAGCTGCCACGATATCGACGAATGTGGACTCTACCAGCCCTGCGATGCTAGCGCTCTTTGCACCAATTTGAACCCCGGCTTCAGATGTGGACCCTGTCCACCGGGCTATGATGGCGTACATGCGCACGGTATGTTGGCAGATTGGCTTCCCCACTTAAAACCACTAACCCACTGCCTATCCAGGTTACTATGCGGAATACCTTGCACTGGGCTTCCAGAAGCAAACCTGTGTGGACTTGGATGAGTGCAAGACGGGCTTCTTCCGCTGTCCGGAACACTCTACATGCGTAAATACCATGGTAAGCATTGGACTTCATATGGGCACTTATTAATCGAAGATCGCGTCTCCAAACATGAATTGATTGGAAATTCAGCATTCCCGACAGACTAAACATCTAATGGTAGTCTAGAATTCGTAGCTGACTAGGTTCCGCTAGCTCTGCTTGACTAAATGGATCACTTTATAGCTTTGGACTTTATATGAACATTTATTAATTGAAGATCGGGGTCTCCAAAGAATAATTGGTTGGAAATTCAGCATTCCCGACAGACTAAAAATTATTATTGTATTTGGTGTATGGCTGGGATCGGCTCTTAATACCGTAACTAATGTTTTTGGATAAGTATGATGTTAAATTTTCAGCACAATAGAACTCCTTGTCTTCTATCACCTTCTTCGGTATTCAACAAATAAAAAACCTTCTTCCTTTATAGGGTTCGTATAGGTGTCAGTGTCACGATGGGTATGTGGCTAATGGCACCTTCAGCTGTCTAGCCTCCGCCGACATCTGTCCTGATGGCAGCATTTGTGCTCGCAATGCCGACTGCATTTTGGCAGATAACTTCAAATACCAGTGTCGCTGCAGCGTTGGCTGGTCGGGCAATGGCAAGATCTGTGGACGGGACAGGGACTTGGATGGTTGGCCGGATGAGTCACTCAATTGCTCGGACTTGCGTTGTCGTCGCGACAATTGTCCCGATTTGCCGAACTCTGGCCAGGAGGATGCTGATATGGATGGAGTGGGAGATGGCTGCGACGATGACGCCGATGGCGATTTGGTGCCGAACAACAAGGATAACTGCCCCTTTGCCTACAATAGTGAGCAGCTGGACGTGGACCACGATGGCGTGGGTGATGCGTGCGATAACTGCATATTCACGCCAAATAGCAAGCAGCTAGATGCGGATGGCGATGGCATGGGGAACGAATGTGACGAGGATATTGACAATGACGGTATCTCAAACGAGCAGGACAATTGTCCTTTGAGGCGCAATCCAAGCCAGGCGGATGCTGACAACGATGGTGCTGGTGATGTGTGCGATAACTGCCCGACTATACCGAATCCCACGCAGGAGGACCGCGATATGGACTTGGTCGGCGATGCCTGTGACAGCGATATAGACGGAGACGATGACGGCATACAGGACTCGGAGGACAATTGTCCCATGGTAAGCAACTCCGATCAGCTGGACACGGATGCTGATGGCAAGGGTGATGCTTGTGACGACGACATCGATGGAGACGGTGTGCCCAACTACAGGGACAATTGTCCGCTGGCTAGAAACACAGATCAGCAGGACCTAAATCGCAATGGCAAGGGCGATGCTTGTGAGCACGATGAGGATGAGGATGGTACACCAAATATAAACGACAACTGTCCCAACAACTCCATGATCTATCGCACTGACTTCCGTGCGATTCGCTCAGTCATATTGGACCCCGAGGGCGATGCACAGCTTGATCCCCATTGGGAGGTGCACGGAAATGGTTCGGAAATTGTGCAGACTTTGAATTCCGATCCTGGACTAGTAGTGGGCGGAGATTCCTTTGGCGGCGTGGATTTTGACGGCACCTTCTATGTGAACGATGACACAGATGATGACTATGTGGGCTTCATATTCGCCTACCAGAGCAATCGAAAGTTCTATGTGGTGCAGTGGAAGAAGGGCACACAAACCTATTGGCATTCAGCCCCCTTCCGCGCCTCCGCGGAGCCTGGTGTCCAAATCAAACTGATTGACAGCCACACCGGGCCAGGCTCTATGTTGCGAAACAGTTTGTGGCATGCAGGCGATACGCCGGGACAGGCGCGCCTCTTGTGGAAGGATCCACAGAATGTGGGCTGGAAGGAGAAGACCTCATATCGCTGGTCTTTGGTGCATCGCCCGGCTATTGGACTCATACGCCTGCGGTAAATTGCTGACTATGTGAAATAAATAGGCTTAGCTTACTAATTTGTATTTCTTTTCTAGCATGTTTGAAGGCGACCGCTTGGTACTGGACTCGAAGAATGTCTACGATGGCACTTTGAAGGGCGGTCGCTTGGGCGTGTTCTGTTTCTCACAGGAGATGATTATATGGTCGGATTTGATTTACAAATGCAACAGTGAGTAGTTGTCCGCTCGAGATTTCACAGATTCATTAAACGTCCCATCTCTTCCCCGACAGCCCGGGTGCCGCAGCAGATTTACAACAACCTGCCCGCACATCTCAAGTTGAAGGTAGAGCTGGAGAACTAAGACGTGCTAAGGTTTCTTGCAGTCAAGCAAAAGTATCTGCCATAATTTTAACCAAATCAACTAAGTACTTATTTATTAGAGCGCTTCTTTTGCGTCCCATTAAAAAACTGATGATAACTCCACAATTATGAAACATGATTACTTTTTTTGGGGGGCTAGTATTTGAATAAATGCCTCAGTTGGTGACACTACTTGCAATAAGAGTGTTACGCTGAGGCGAAAGGAAGAGTGGTGAATTAAAAAAACTTTTTACACAAATGATTATAAATCTCTTCGGCAAAAAGTATACGACGTACAAAATATAAAATATAAATGAAACAAATGCATATTTTAATTGTGCCTTTTCATTTGTAGTTTATATTCAAAATTTAATCCCCATTATAACTTTTCAGCTAGATTACAATAAATATACATACATGTATGTGCATATTTGTGTACATGTAAATATGTTATACTGTTATACTGTTATACGAGTTCGCTCCGAGAAGTTGATGCAAGCAATTTAAAAATACCAATATTGAGAAAAGCAATTAATTAGGGCTTACTTCCACACACAAAAAGATCAGGTTGATTGTCATTTACGTAGAAATGTGGGTATGTATTTATTTTGAAATTAATTGTAGTTCTTCACAAAAAACTTGCAAAACCACATTCATACACACACTCAAGCGGCAATATGATTTCAATAAAAAAAAAGACTTAAAAAAACATTTTCCTAATATTTTTACGCAGATAAACATACAATCACCACAACAACACGATTAACAATATAAAGAATATATTTGCCTGCGTCACAAAACTCACTCATGATTTCTCTCTCATTAAATAAAATGCAATGGTAATTGGGAGAGCTTATTTACAGTTATGATTTTTGATTCTTTGCTTTCTCTTTTACATTCTGACAGCAGCAGAGCAAGGCTTTGTTTTGCATATTGCGGTACTATATGTACATATGTAAGTATATGCACATATATGTGTATATGTGCGCTTGCTTTTTACATTCATTTACATCGGCATAGTTGGCCTTGACATTGCCAGACCTAATGTCGCCATAACAAAACAGAAAGAGACACAAAATAAGAAAGAAGAGAAATAAATGTACTGTCTCCATCGTACAATGTTGTAACAGAAAGAGGCAGAAAATAAAAAAGAGAACTAAATAAATATTTGCCAACTTGTCGCAAAGAGCAAGACAAAGCAATAAGATCGATCGGTAGGCGCAAAAGAGCGTGCGGATTAGATATCTCTTGAAAATGTTAAAGATAGAAAAAAATCAGCAATAATACTTATTAATTGATTGGCAAGTCGATACGACTTCCTTTGTCTGTGTTTTCAAATTAAATGCCTCAGCTCAGCGCTGCACACATACTATGTACGTGTACAACGCTTTAAAGAATCCTTTAAGCAGTTTGAAAAATCCTTTACTGAAATGGCCTTCAGTACGTTGTCAACACAAAACCTAAGTTTATCAAAATATACAGCTGCTGCTTTGGTTTTGAATATTTTGTGCAGCTATTTACATACATATATCCTTATTGTAGAGTTACCAATCCACTTCAGAGTGCCCGTTACATTTACGAAAACCGTGCTAAAAATAATTTCGATAACCTTTCGATAACCGTTGTAGCCTGGAGGCATTGTCTCAAACTCGCAGTTGGCCATGAAAAACTATGCACATCTGTTAGTTTTTGTGCAAATTGTCAGCACGGCCTAAACGCATTCTTTGACAAAATTTTACACATTTTATCTACGCAATTTTCGATAAACCAAACCAAAAAGGTACAAAGCTCTAGATAAAAACCAGAATAAATTGCGGCCTGTCTTGCAACAAATAGTAAAAGGTATGTACAAACTGAAAATAATGCTAATATAGTAGAACTGGATGAACTGTTCAACGGTCGAACATAACCCTATTAGGTGCAACAAAATGGCCAACTGCGACATTCAAATTACCGTATCGCAGGAACAGTTAGATCAAACAAACAATGCCGGCGCGGACTTGCAGCCGCGGAAGACGTCCGGCACCCGCATACCCGTCCCCGTGCGTCAGATGCCCGGTGGCAGCTACAGCCAAGTGAGTGGTCGTCGCTACAAAAGCCTGCTGAGCATCAACGGCAGCGAACGGTCCGTGTTGCAAAGTCGCAGCACCAGCATGAATGAACTCTACGACGACTCGGGCATACATTTGAGCTGCTCGAACTGCTCGCCGGAGCCCTTGCGTCCGACCAGCTCCACTCCCGTGATCAAGGAGGGCGAACAGATGCCAACCACTAGAAGTCAGTTGGAGCTTCAGATGGAGGAGCAGCAAACGCTGCGTGACTTGCAACGTGCCGTTGCCGAAATGGAGGCGGATGTGCAGCTGCATGCCGTGGCCCTGGAACAGCAGGTAAAGGAGGAACAAAGCCGGAATGCACTGGAGTTGACCGAGGAGCATAAGATCGAGCTGCAGCAAAAGTACAGCTGGATGCTGGATGACGAAAGCCAGGCGCAAGGATCTCAGTCCGAGCTAAGGCCAACTGCTGATTCAAAGATGGATCTACGACTGAAGAACGAAACAAGGTCCGAGCCCAGGCGAAATCTAAATCAAAAGCAGGACTCTAAAATGGAGCTAAAACAAAAGCAAAGCTCTAAAATCGCTTTGTTTCAAAAACAATTATCTAAGACGGAGCAAAAACGCAAGCAAGACTCGAGCTTACTGTTAGCGCCTAGACCGGTACCCAGGATGGGCAACCAACTGAAGCAGGAGTTAGTGCAGAAGCACAAGGAAATGATGGCGAAGAGCGACCAAAAGCAACTCGAATTCGTATACGAGCCAGTCACTGGCAGATTTGAAGAGGTTAATCCTAAAATACAGATTCACCCCGCCTCTGAGCCAGACACCGACCTATTACTGGCGGCGGCACAGTCCAGCGTCAGTCAGCTCCGTGACTGGGCCATACCCGTCGGCATTAGTGAGGAAGAGGTAGAGAACTCCACTGACGCCAACGCTATGCTGAGCAGTTCGAGTAACGAGCGCACGCTGGTCCGTCTCGAGCAGTTGCTGGCGGCCGAGGACAACATAGAGCTTCTACAAAATCTGCTACGTAGACGCGGCACTTTGGCTAACATCGACAACGCTGAAACATTGACTCAGCAAGCCGTCGTTGAGGCGCCCTCAACCAAGGAGGATCGGGGTGTCCTACGCTCCTTGCTGCACATTTTATATGGGGGTGATATTCGAAAGCTTGGCTATCCACTACTGTTCTGCGGCATGGCTTTTGGTTTGGTATATTACTTTCGCAAAGCTTAGATAGCGAAGGTCCTGTAAATTTTGAGCAATTAAACATGACTAACAGTTATAAATATATAAATATAGGAACAACAGGTATACACATTGGATCGATGCGAGCCGACTGTGCATGTGGCACACAAATTTCAAACGCATCGAGTTTTCAAAATTTCATTTATTTTGTAAATAAAACCTGCGCTAAACACACATTTTAAGAGTTTATTGTTCATTGTCGTGTCAATCAGAGAGTATGGTTTCGAAATGCTGATCAATATATACACAGCTGTACAGAATAATAGGTGTGAGATTTTTTTTTTTTTTCAAAAAAGCTTGCCTTTCATATATGTATATTCAAATTTTCCTCAAAAAATGAATTAGTTTTCAAAATAAACATACTTCAGCGACAAAGCAAATAATAAACGGCTTTACCAACTACTAAAAATAACTTAGCGTTTAGTTAATTCCTAAAATACAAATGTTTTGGCTGGACAGAATAAGTAGTGTGTCAAAATAAAATTTGTAAAAAATATTGAAATTTTGTTATTTTTGGTCCCGTATTGTACTGAATTGATTAGAGCAAACTCCATACCCTGAATATCAGGGTAGTTTTCACCTCCCGCAAACCTAATATACTTTTGTACATTTCATGTACAGAGTATAATCAAGAAAGAAATGGTAGTCCAGCGGGCTGAACTCTCAAATACACTGTCACATTCCCACAAAAGAGAAAAAAAAATTTTTTAAATAAAAGAATTTAAAATAAATAAATAAAATTAAATAAAAAATATTCAATACATACACATACATATGTAAGTTGTGACATATGTTAATGTAGAGTTTCATTTTTAATTTTCATTATTTATTGCATTTCTTTACTTGGCAAAAAACAACAAAATCAATCGTCTCAACTTCCACATTTTTTATGGTTGTGTCTACTTATTATACCCTGTACCCAAAAGGGTACAAGGGTATATTAGTTTTGTGCGAGTGCACATGGAACACACAGAAGGAGGCTTGGTAGACCCCACAAAGTATATATATTCTTGATCAGCATGACAAGCCGAGTCGATATAGCCATGTCCGTCTGTCCGTCTGTCCGTCTGTCCGTCTGTCTGTCCGTCTGTCTGTCCGTCTGTCCGTCTGTCTGTCTGTATGAACGCAAGGATCTCCGAAAGTATAAGAGCTAGAATAACCAAACTTGGTATACAGATTCTCCTGAGACCGAGAAAGGACGAGTTTGTTCATTTTTTCTGATCCACCCCCCCACTCCCCCCCTATTAACGATTTTCTATAACTTCCGTAATTCTTGGAATTTTGAACTAAAATTTGGTAGTCACATTAGGTTAGTTATTATATAACAGTATACCAAGTCTCATTATGATAGAATGATCGGAAAGAAAGTTATAGCCATATAACCAGGCCCAATGCACACATACATACATATGTACAAGTACACAAACACGCATAAGGCACGATTCTGATGTAAATGTAAATGTATGTATGCATGCATGGAATATTTTATATTTAATTTAGTTAATTAATTAAATTAATTTAGTTAATTAATTAAATTTAATTAATTAATTAATTTAATTACTTTTTTGTGGGGTGGTACAGGGTATTTAAGAGTTGAGCCTGCTCGACTTTAGCATTCCTTTCTTGTTTTTCTTATGAGTTTCTAAGAGAAATCTTACACTCTCTTGCCTTTACCGCTTGATCTAACTGCACTCTCTTTGTCCTTTGCGACAAGTTGGGGCGTTCGTACTGTTCGTTCATCTTCAGACAACTGATTAAAAACTCAAATGTAGCCATGTTAGAAATCTGTTATACAAATCATATGGCAAATTCTTTACATTGAGTTTTCTTCTTTCTTATGTTGTATCTCTGTTATGTTATGGTAACATTTTGTCTGCTAATAAAAAGGCCAATTGAGAGACTTATGCATAACTATGTACATAGAAATATGAAATGTTATACGCAACAAGCATACACTCATGTGTTTTTTCATGTACATACATATGTACATACATAGGCTAAAGCATGCAGTAAAATAGTAATTTGCAACCAAATATGAATCAATGCGTTCTTACATACATTTACATCCATTTCAAAATTGGAAAACTTTATTTTAATCACAATTATTACCACTTAAAAAACAAAACAAAAATTGTGGCACCGGCAGAATTGAAATCACGAACACGCATACATAAATAAATATGTATGTATACAGCACGTAATTCGCGCGCATTTTCGCATTAATAAACACACACATATTATGCGCACATTTTGCAAACAACTTAATACATACATTTTGTATGTTTTCAAATATTTTTACTAATATTTATTTTAATCACAATTATTACCACTTAAAAAACAACACAAAAATTGTGGCACCGGCAGAATTGAAATCACGAACACACATATGTACATAAATAAATATATACATAAGTATGTATACAGCACGTAATTCGCGCGCATTTTTCGCATTAATAAACACACACATATTATGCGCACACTTTGCAAACAACTTAATACATACATTTTGTATGTTTTCATATATTTTTACTAATATTTATTTTGATCACAATTACTACCACTTAAAAAACAAAACAAATTGAGCTGAAATCACGAACACACACACGCATAGATAAATATGTATACAGCACGTAATTCGCGCGCAATTTTCGCATTAATAAACACATGCATACATATATGCACACACTTTGCAAACAACTTAATAAATATGAAAATACATACTTATTGTATGTTTTCATATATTTTTACTAATATTTAAACTATTAACTACACGTTTACTAGGAGTCCTCGGCAACTCCAATGACCGACGACGCAACGCCTTCGACAGATCGATCAAAACTAAGCCTTGCTCTGCAGCTGCCGGCAGATGGCTCTCTCTAAGAATGCAAAAGTAAAAGCAAACAATCAAAAATCATAACTGTTAATCCGCTCTCGCACCTGCCATACTTGTGAGGCGTAGCAAGTGTTTGGTAATTTCATGCGTTGGAGTAGATTTAGTTAATACTTAATATTACTTACTTAATATTTTAGATTTAAATAAAAAATTTTCAATTCACGCATACATACATATGTACTTGCATAAGTGGAGACATATGTATGTACATATGTTTGTGTGTATGTGTGCAGTGCAGAATTAAGTCAAAGCAGCAACAGCTGCGGGCAGAGCTTGGGCAGAGATTCCATTTATGGCTATAATTAATTCCATAATTGACCCCCATAATGAGTCGATCAATGTTATATATGTATGCTTTGGGAGTTCTGCCACGCGTTCTGTGTGTTACCTACCATGGCACATAATTAGTATACCCTTTGGGACAGCGTATACAAATGGGAAATTAAAATGAGAAGCGTAGGCAGCAGCAGTGCCTGAACAGTATTGGTAACAGTAGTTTGGCAGGCAAAAACTCCCTGTCAGCAAATAATTGGGACTTTAATTTGATCGTTGACTGCTTGCCTAAAACTCTTCCAAACTGATTTCTCAATTATTGCTATGGTGATACATATAACACTTTTAATTTACTTTTAGATAGAGACAATAGATTTATAGACAAGATATAATGCGACACAAACGAATTTTTCTATTCATTTCCCAACTGCATTTAGTTGGTGATTCCGATTAATAGTTGTGTGAGGTATTCATTTTCTTGCCACACCCGATGCAGCAGCGATTACAAACGTGGCGAGTGCGTACTGTGCGGGGAACGAACTGTGGCATGTCTGTCGGTGAGGAGTGCTCCCTGAACTCCTTCCCAATGAAGCGGAGGAGGAAGCGTTCACATGTATGACACCAGAGTAGCAGAGTGTCTGTGCAACGAGTGGCATCCAAAGTGAAGCAGAGGGCAGCCAACGCAAAAACATTGCTCAAGAAGGCTAAGCCCACCAGCTCACAGCTCCAGAAGGCGCACTGCAGTGGTTGCCGGACTCCATTCCTGACACTGGAGTAATTGAAGAGCCCATACCTAACTAGCCAGTGCATCAACAGCTCCAGTCTGCACCACACAATAATCAAACTTATCTCGACCAGCAGTATGCAGGCCAACAGATCACAAGCCACTTTCACAGCATTTGGCAAATGTAGATAGCGTTCGGGAAAGATCTCCAAGTCATATAACAGTACCATGGTGGCTATCAGGAAGATCCAGCTTGCCAAGGCCGGCGCTGGGGAGCATCTGTCGTGTGGCTGATGCAGAAACACTGAGGTGCCCATTACTTGCAACATCCCTGTGGTCACGATGGCAATAATCGACACCATTTTCAAATAATTTATTCTCTATTTTTTGGGGCTGAAGTTTACATAAAATTTGTACGAAGTCAATTTAGTTGATATTTGTGATATCTATATCTCATTGCTTATGTAAACATTTCTTTTAAAAATTAAAATTACTGTTACTATATAAAGTGGCAAATTCTGGAGCTTGAGAAGTTTTTTAAAATGTATTTTCTACGGATTGGATAGTTCAGTTAATATTCGATACTGATGACAAGCGCATTTTTTTTTAAACTTTTCGATGCCAAATAACAGTTGATGTTTTAAATTGGTGATAAGTTCGGTACTTTTTTTATTAACAATCACCTTCGATATAATATTGACTATCAAAGCCATGCTATTTAATATCTTAAAAACTTATAAATGAATCCTTGTTTTTGGTTATTAGTACCGCCTAGGCTGCTCCTATTAGGATTTTTTGAAATAAAATGGAAATTGGGAACAGTAAATGAAATTAAAAGACTTATTAGTGTTTAATAATATTTATTTACTATACAATACTACATTTCGTAAAGAAAGCTCGTTTAAATTTATTATATTTTAAGTTCTTCAATAGATTGCCAAAGTTGTATCCGGATTATTTCCCCAAAACAACAGCTCCATCAGCTTCCAAAAACCTATATTTCCTAAATTTTTATTAAAAAATTGTAAAAAGAACAAAAAATATATATTTTTGTTGCATTTCTTGAAAACTTTTGAAACAAACATTGCCCGAATTTTAGGAGACGGCTTCTAAATCTTTTAATAGGGTTTATTTCCTTCCAAAAATTTCCCTGCATCATCAAATGTCTTCCCAGCTTCTTTAAATTCTACTGCATACTTTTAGGAGCAGTGGGAAATAAATTCCACTGTTTTGAATTTTTTGTAGAGCACAGAAAGTAGGCATTAACAATATTTGAAAATTAGCAATAAAATCACAATAACTGTTGAATGTAATCACTAAATCGTATTTATATATATGTGCATAGCTATCAAATTTTTAGTTAAAGAAAATACGAGTGCCTGGACGCCAACTTCTCTGCATGCCAGCTCTACAATTGAACCACAACGATGGCCTCGATAATAGCTATCAGCCTGGCAGCCATGATGCACCTAGTTCTGCGAGTGAGCTTCTATATCCAGCCGAATGAGAAGCAGTCGGCGCCCGGACCAGCATTACCCACAATTATCGTTTGTATTGCACTGCTCGATATAATATACGATAATCGGATTTTGCCGCAACGCTACGAGTGCATGGTGCCGAAAGCATTTAAGTATCTGTGCGAGGCTGGGATCGCCATATTTTTTCTGGAGGTGGGCATGCTGATCTTCTGGGCGACCATTGAGTATGTCATATATTTGACCTCCAGGGCCTTGTTGCTGAGCCTAGGCTTGGTATCAATGCAGACCTATAATAAGCATGAGACCTTCATGGTTGGACTCTTCACTGTGCCCCTTTCGCTGTTCATTTTGGCAATGACAGGTCAGGCCACCGATCACTTTCATCTGCTGCAAGATCATTATCTGTCCGTGCAGACATTAGCCGCCTTGAGGCTGGACAATGCGATGAAATTTCTGCGTCGCACCGATGAGCAGCAGCGGCACATGCTGCGCCTCGCTGTCAAGAATCACGATGCGGCCAGGAAGGGACAGGAACGTGGTCGCCACTGGACGCCCCACTTTGAATCGAAGTAGATCGAAAATCAAGGTAATTCAATATAAACATAATTGTTCGCTTTAATTAGTTGTTCTTTTTTACAGTTATTATAGAAAATTTATAAAATTACTTGTCGTAATCGTATGCGTATAATTAATAAATTTGCTTTTGTTTTTATTTAAATTACAAAGTAACGACTATATTGCTGCTGCTCGAGAATTTGTAACAAGCTTGAAAGTTAATTGCATTTTAACGCACTCTTCCTATTTATTTTAATACCTTGCTGAGACAAGGTAATTTCAAGTTTTTTGTTTGTTCTTCATTGTATATAATACTTAAAATTAAAACAATTTATTACGATATATTACGATGTATTTTATGCATAAGTTCAACTTAATTTCATTCCATTTAGTCTGCATACCTAAAAAGCACGTGTTCGAGTTTGTTTTTAAACTTTTGCATTTGTTTCCCAAGCTCTGCATGAAGCGACGTAATTAAACGATTCATTTCTGCTTTCAATATTGCTTCAAATACATTCATACATGTAGTCCTAATTACGACGGTTCAATGCAAAGCTTTCGATTGGCCACTTTCAATTTCAATTTAGTTGCGCCTTCAATGAGTATTTGGTAGTGGCTGGCTGCTTACTTGTAAATGGGCGCAGTGTTGGGCAGTGTTGGAAAATATTATGAGCACAATTCACATTCAAGCAGCTATGAAGTAATATTGTTCATAGTAATTAATTCTTTTATAATATACTATCGTTTCTCTTTTGTTTTGTTTATTTTTATAATTGTAGCGCCAGCACGAGTTCTGTGTGTATGTGTATGGGGTTTTACTGTACTTCGCTATCACTGTCACTCTTTTCTGAAAGAAATGTTAGAGATAATAAGTAAATTGCGGTAAAGGTTGGGGTCTTCTGTAAGCACCTTTCTTGCCCGTGTAGGCATGACGTTTCAGTCGATCGTATAAGTCTTCTTTAGTTCCATAGAGCGAAGCATTTGACCTCGCCAATGTACTCATCTTGCCACCATGGAGACCTATAAAGACATTAAGCAAATTGGAGTGTAATTTGTAGAGTAGAGTTTAATAAACTAGAAAATAAAACGTTAAATCATTTTCTAAGTACAAGGTTCTGCTGTTCAGACAACTATTTCACTATCATTATAGATTATACTTTACTATTTGGGGCAACTCTTTTTGGAAACTTCGCTTGTTTCGTTAAAACATTGCAATATAAAACTATATTTGCTTTAAACACATACGACTATATTCAGATCAATAGGGGTACCTCAAGCAGTATGGCTCAATAGGTCCAACTGTCTATGTATATTTGCATACTTTATAAGTTTATTACTAATATTATGTAAAATATTCATTGGATATCTAGAACTTCTCTATTTTTAACCATTTTTGTATGCAGCTGTGTAAGTCTTAGCTTTTTTCGTTCTACGGTTTTTTGGGATCACAACTTACCATCCTTCATGTAGGTCTCATTGTAGAAGTTTGGCATCTCCCAGCCATCCTCCTCGTCGTCGTAGTAGTGCGCGTAGGTGCTGTGGTGTGAGGGCGCTATGGATTCCGCATAGGGCGTGTGTGCGCCGTAATAGAAGTTCACCTGAGAGCCGGTCTGATCGATGGCCGGTGTCAGCATTTTCTTGGGATCGCGACGCTTTGTCGAACGCACACAAATCATCCAAATGAGCAGCACAATGATGATAATAAATATTACAGCTCCCGCAATGCCGCCGGCAATATAAGCAAACTCGGAGCGTTCAACGCAATGCGGTCCAGTGAATGAGCCCACACAGCGGCAGGATGGAGTGCCCTTCAGATCCTTAACGCAGGTGCCGGAATTCTCACAGAAGCCCTCGCAAACGTCAGTACAGACCATGCCGGTGCCGTTGAAACCAGGCTTACATTCGCAACTGAAGTCGGTTGTCTCTGGTTCCATGATGCAGTATGCATTGACATCGCAATGCGGTTTGCCCTCGGCAATGTGCTCGCACGGATTGGTGCACTCGCTCTTCGAGGTGGCGCCGGTGATCTTGGTGCTGTGGTTGGGCGGACACTGTATGCAGGTGGTCTGCTGGGACTCGGACTGGTAGAAGCCCTTGCGGCACTCGATGCACATATTGAGTGTGCCATTGAGATAAGTTCCAGGCGAGCATACAGGAAGTGTGCACTCTTCGACAGAACTGGCTCCCACCTTGGGTGTGGTACGTCCTAATGGACAGGCTGCGCAGCTAGGCTGAACGCCTTGCAGGCGGTAGGTGCCTCGTGGGCAAGGCTCGCAACGCCCGTCGGCGCCAAGCTGTTGTCCGGAGCTGCACTCGTCGCGACATTCTTTGCGAGATGTGGCTTCGGTGGAGCGCGTTGTTTGACCCAAGCCGCACAGTTCACAGCCAAAGGCACCTTCGTTGGATTGATAGAAACCGTGACCGCAAGGACGGCAAAGTCCAGTCTCCGAGTCGAAGTATTTGCCAGCTGGGCAGCGTTCCTTGCAGTCGGCAGCCGAACGAGCACCGGGTCCGGCTGTGACGCCAGGACGTCCAGCAATCACTGGACACTTGCTACACTGCTGTTGACCCGCCTCGGATTGGTAGCTGCCACGCTCGCATGCAACGCAAGTCTTATTGGCAATGTCGTAGTAGGTGCCAATGGCGCAAGGCACGCAGTCTGGAATCATGACCACCTGGCCCACAGGGCAAGCATACTCAGATCCTAGTTCCAGAGATGCTGGATCAGGCACGGTGTTGGGCAATATTTCCTGAACGGCGAATTGATCGTCTTCTAGAATGAGTTTCTCCAGCAGCTGCTTGACATTGGAACGTTCGCCAGTAGAAGTATGTATAACAGGATCGCTGCGAATGGTTAGAGAGGATGGAACATTAGTTTCAAGCACCTTCTAAGTGATGGCTGTGTTAGCACAGTAACAAATGTGGCGTGGGATTAACTTAAGCATTAAAACAGTTGACCGAATTATTAGCATATGGGCATGGCGATGAGGTGGTGGGTGATTAAACAGCGACTAGTTGGTAGTTTATTGGGTGCAATTTGCTTGAGTGGGTGCGTTTTGAGGTCGTTACTTGAAACGTGAGTGAGATTCACATACTTTACAGCCGGGAAGGCTATTTCCAATGTGTAAGTATCACCGCCAGTCTGTTGGCGTCCCTGTCGACCGTTCAAATCCAACTCGTCATCCTCACTAGAAATTGGTTAACGAACATACAACACATAGAACATATACATATATGGACAAAACATGCTTTCTCTTTTGTGGTTCGGCTTATGTGCAAAGGTTCAGAGCATTTATAGCTCAAGATCAATACTCACTTGACCACTGGAATTTCAGCTTCCATGACGTAAACACCGCCATCCTTCAGTTGACGACGCACGCGATTATTTTGAGCAGCGCGATAATGATCACACTTGACGTCAATTTGAATATCCTTGCATTCCCTGCAGATAATTCGTAGAGGCGTAAGCGAAAATTGCATGTGAGTGCGAAAATTCCAGCTTACCTGGTGCCCTCAATGGCATATGAACAGAAGTTCCAGTCACGATTCAGAGCATTCACTGAGTTGGTTACCTTCTGCCGAAGTACAGCCTGACCAGCCTTATTGCAAAGTACATCAGAGGGGAAAAGCATTTTGATGCGGAAGACACGTTGTGCCGGCTTGGCCAGAGAACAGGAAGGATAGACTAACGGCATGGAAGGAGCACGAGTGGGTCGCCAGAAACCTTCAGCGCCGCAAGTGTAGAACTCTGGCACCTGTTCGGAGAAGCGGAGGCCAGCATTGCAAGCGATTTCGCAAACCTTGAACTGACCGCCAGCACCCCAATCCTTGCAGACTTGAGTGCCACCAACGGGATCGGCTAAAGGTGGACAGAAGTCGGCTGTGGATAAAAAAGAAAGAAGTAGTACAACAGTTCAAAGCTATTATTAAAGTTGTATAACTTACTTAACAGCGAGACTTTGAAGCTACAGGATGCCGTATTTCCTTCCGTATCAGATGCTATATACGTAATATCATAGGTGCCCCAAAGCAACGTGGTTCCAGATCTGTGTCCATTGCGCTCATAGATTTTAGTAACACCAATATTGTCGCTAAAGTGTGGCTCATCCCAAGTGACCACAGCTGAACCATTCTTGGCAATAACCCAGAGATCGCCAGGGCAATGCTCAACCACTGGTGGTTCCTTGTCCACTACCAGCTGTTGGCAATTGGGTCCGGTGTAGCCCACTTGGCATCTGCGCTGTCCGCACAGTGAAGGCACATTGCGTTCCACTCCACCTGAAGTGACCTCATAGCCGGCCCAGTTAAGAATGAGGCCGGGATAAAGGACCGGCTCAGAGCGGCAGTCGCGAACTTGTTTCTGTATTTCCGATGTAATGTCCAAAGCACGTGCCCAAACCTGTGACTTAGTAATGGTACCCTGGAAACCTGAATCTGTGTAGGCTAGCTCATGTTTCACGCTATCAGGTTGGGGGCGACCCAGGACTGACCATAGATAGGCTGGCAGTGCACCACCAGCTCCGTACTCGACCTTACTGGCAATTAAACCTTCCGTAATGAGCTGCAGCTGACCGCTAACGCCATCCCAGACAACAGCTACGTGATGCCATTGACCATCGTTTACGGAGGTGTACTCTCCGAACGAGAGGAAAACGTCTGGAAGCTCGTCAAAGAGTGAGACCTGCACACCACTGGAATGAGCCTGAAGAAGCAGTCGACGGCGGTTTGTTATACGCGCGGATTCCACACCATACAGTGTGAAGAAAATGCCCGTATCATCCTTCTGTGCAAACTGGACCCACATGGCCACGGTAAGGCTATTAGCCTCCCCGGTGTAGAATGGCACAACCTGGGCAGCTGTAGAACGAGTTGGATCGCTGAAGTACAAATCGTAGTCCACTTGTATAGCCTTGCGGCAATCATCGCCAGTCATGTTGAAGGGGCACTGGCAGTAAAATCCATTGGTAAGATCGACGCAAGTGGCGCCCGGTGGGCACGAGTTGTCCTTACAGTCCACGATATCCTGCTCGCAATTCTTGCCGGTGAAACCAGGGGGGCATTCACAGCTATAGCCAGCGCCATTGTCACGACAGATTGCTCCATTCTGGCAAACGTTAGCGTCGCATGCATCATATTCATATTGACAACCGATGCCCGCATAATCCGACGGACATGTGCAGTTCAGCCCAGAGCCAAAGTCCTGGCATTTGCCGCCATGCATACAAGGGTCGCCAATGCAGCGTTCCGGTGCCGTCTCGCAGTTCTTGCCATCGGTGCCACTGGGGCATACGCAGAAGTAGTCCTGGAACAGATCGATGCAGCTGGCATCGTTCTGGCAAGGCGCCTGCACGTTGCAGGTGGTAACTTGCTGCTCGCAGCGCATACCGCTCCAGCCTGGCTCGCAGCCACACTCAAAGCCACCAACACGATCGCGGCAGATGCCATTGTTAAGACAAGGATTTGTCTCGCAGTCATCAATGTCCGTTTCACAAAGCGCGCCCTTGAAGCCGTCTCGGCAGACGCACTCAAACTTGTTATCCAGATCAAGGCAACGCTCAGTGCCAACAGGATTGCAGGGATCGCTCAGGCATTCATCAATTTCTGCTTCGCAGCTCAAACCCACATAACCAGGTCGGCACTTGCAGCTGAAGCCATCGAGCTGTGAAGAAGAATTGTAGACATTTAGAATTTGATAATTGTAAAATATTAAAATCTAGCTATTCTGTGTTTGGATCCTCACCTGATCAATGCAAGTAGCACCATGCTGGCAGGGATTCGAGGCACAATCATCAATAGTATGCTGGCAGTTCTTGCCGGTATAGCCTGGCTCACAATTGCAGCTATATCCATTGACAAGATCGAGACATTGGCCGTCATTGGCGCACGGTTTGTTGGCGCAATCATCGATGTTCACATCGCAAGCTTCACCTGTCCAGCCGGGTTGGCAGACACACTCGTGGTCGAATAAGCGATCTACACAGGTGCCATGCTTGCAGGGCTCCGATAGACACAAATCGATCTTCTCTTCGCAGCGCTTACCAGTGAAGCCTGAAGGGCAGGCGCACTGGAAGTCATTCACTAGATCTGTGCAGTTGGCGCCCAGAAGACATGGATGCTCGGCACAGTCGTCAATATTTTGTTCGCAGTGCAAACCTTCCCAGCCAGGCAGGCACTCGCATTTGTAGCGTCCCTGTTGTAGAGCTAAGCAGCTAGCTCCGTTCGCACAAGGATTACCATTTGCCGTACAAGGATCGATAGTCACATCACACTGCTCTCCTGTGTAACCGCTGCGGCATAGGCACGTTACATTTTTGTGTCCCGGCTCATTCTTGCACATAGCACGCGCTGGACATGTGTCGCTGCTGCAGTCGCTGGCTTCTTCCTGACAGTTGAGGCCAGAATAGCCGACTGGGCACTCACAACGATATCCTTGAGGCAGATCTTTGCATTGGCCACCGTTGTAGCATGGCTGTGAGGCACACTCGTCAATGTCTTGTTCGCAGCGACGGCCAGAGAAACCGGCAGGGCAGAAGCATTGGATATCATGTCCCATGGGTACGCAGAGACCACCATGCTGACAGGCGCCCTCTCCACACACCACAGGCTTGCATTCCTCGCGTCCCTTTGCACCAGGTCCATCTGTGCGCATGTTGGTTGGACATTCGTTGCAGCTTTGGGCTCCGGCTGCGCTTTGGTAGTGATGCAGGGGACAGGCAGAGCACGGTGCTAGACCGGTAGCGGAATAGAATCCAGGAGCACATTTAGCGCGGCATAGAGACTTGCTGGCTGCAGCCGGCTGATAGGTAAAGCTTTGAGCTGGACAAGCCTGGCAATCTTTGAATCCTCCCGTGGGTGGCTCAGCAGTAAAGGAGTTGCGTGGACACTCCAAGCAAGGAACCAGACCAGTTGGCGAATAGGTGCCATAGCCACAGACAGGTATGCAATCATTCAGAGACTTTGAACCCTCCTCCTTGGTGTAGGTTCCGGCGGGACAGCGCATGCAGGTGCCCTGACGATCACGATTCTGGTAGTAGCCGCGCGGACAATATGTGCAGGTGTTCTGGCCCTCCGCTACATAAGTGCCGGCAGGACAATGCAGACAACGTGGAACGTCACTTGTGTCCATATTCAACACCTCCCCAACGTTGCAATTGAATCCACGAGAAATGTTCGATTTCAGGGCACGCAATGGGGGACACTGATTGCCAATATTGGAAATGTTAAGCAGCGAATCAATGACAGCACTAGCATAAGGTACGCTCAGATCAAAGATGAGATTTAGAGTTGAACCACAAAGATCATACAGCTGCGGTTGGCGAATGGCAGGCAATATGGATAGAATGAAATCCATCTTGACAACGTTCTCCTCTAGCAATGAAGGCACTGACCTTACGAATGTTACATTCATGTTCACATTTACAGCTGAGCAACGTTGCGAGAGCACCTGATTAAGTCCGGAGTAGTGCTGAGAAAGCAGGTCTTGGTACTGGCCTAGACAGGATGGTGCTACCGCACCATTGGCACGATAGGTAACCGTGGCCGTAACGTGGTAAGCTGCCTGCTCGGTATTCTCTGAAACACAATCGGGCACCACGGAGGTGGGACGCCAGAGACGCGAAGTTTCGCACGAGAAGGTCTTCAAAGGTTCACCATCGGTAAATCGGAAGCCGGGCTTGCAAGTGGCTATGCATTCAATACCACGATCCCCATTAAGACAATTGATGGCTCCGTCGGCAGGTGGTTGTAGCTCCCAGTCTACACAAGGGGATGCCTGGACAGACACTTGGAAGTGGCAGTGCGCACGATTGTTGAACTTATCTGTGGCTGTCACTGTTACATTCTCAAAGGCTCCGATCTTTATGGTAGCACGCTCTGGTGTGAACAGCAAACGCACTTCACCAGCTTCATCAGACGTCTTAATGCGCTTACGCGTATCATTAAAGTTCACATTGTAGCTGTCTTGACGATCCACCAACTCAATGACATAGCTCTGAGGGCACTGTAGTAGTGGTGGCGTTACATCCGGTACAGTGATGTTAATCTCACATATGGCAACATTTCCATCATAGTCGAAGGCAACATATTTAACAACTGTATCCTTAAAAACGTAGCTAGGCGTGCGGAAGTTTTGTGGTTTCACCTCCAGGCGGGCAATGGATCCCGAGTTATCTACAGCAGTTGGTTCGGTGAAGTTTACGGGCAATACACCACCGTTCTCATCACGACGCACCACAATCGGCTGCTGTGGGCAGTTCTGGAAAATAGGAGGTTCGTTGTCCACACATGGAGAGTATCCATAGTCATAGCCTAGTAGTGGTTCTTTCTTTGGCTCCTCGCAGCCCATAAGCTCGAACTTCAGACAAGCATTATCCATATAGCTCACAATGCCCAAGATAACAAAACGCGCCTGCACATATTTGGGAAGCGTTATCATGGCCAGTTCACCATAGTTGCCCGGATCGCGCATTGTTAGGTTGAAATTGGGGAAGTAGACCACATAGTTCTCATGTTCTGCTTGCTTGTAGAAGAAACGTATTTCGGTGGGCCGACCCACAATGTCATTGGTGACTACACCCTTCACCAAAATGGCCTTCACTCGATATATTTGTCCCAAGTCCACGCTCACATATGTAAATGCCTCCTGTTTGCCGCACCATCCAGTAGCAGAGTTGAGGCGTATGTTCTTGGCCTCATAGTTAGGTCGCTCAGAGGTAGCGTTTATGGCTGAATCTGGAATTCTGCCCGAGCTCAGACCCAAAGGCTTAATTACCTTACACTCTGGCTCGCGAATACATGTAATGGGGCGTGGATTGATGAGAATGTAGCCAGGACGATTGCAGCCGAAATAAACCTCCGAACTCTGTTCATAGCTACGAGCCAATTGACGTCCATCGGCGGGACGACCAGGATCTTCGCACACGGGACCTTCGCAGCGTAAGTCGCCAAAGTCCCAAATGCCATCACTGCCACATCGTACAACATTGTCATGGCGGGAAGTCTGACCAGCCAGCTTGAAGGTATTTTGGCAGCCGAAGAAAAAGTTGCTCTGGTAACGTGTGTCCACAAATTGGCCATATTCGGCGCCTGGTGTGGGCATAGGAGCATAGCAATCGATCCGCGGGCAATTGGGCTGCATTCCCGATAACCAGTAGTCAGGTAGTCCAGGCTTGGGATCGTAGACGCATTGTCGGAAACCGGCGGAGGCAGTGGCGCGAAGCTGACGGCCTGCAGCTCCACAGCTGATGGTCACGTTGTCACGGAAAGGCACGAGCACAGATTCAGGATCGGGACGTGCAACAGTCAGACCCTCCAACTTATCATCAGGCAGAGAAACACATTTAGCATCTACAGAAAAAAGAATCAAGGCGAAATTAAAAATATTTATGGATGCTTCTTTGATTTTAATTTGTACTTACAATTGCATTCGGGCACGCTGGCATTCCATTGACCGCTAGACAGGCACAGGGCAGAAGAGCTGCCACTCATTATGTATCCAAAGTGACATTGGAAACGCACCACATCACCAAAGTGATAGTCGTTGCGCTCGCTTAGAAGCTGTCCATTCTCTGGCGCCGACAATTGAGGGCACATTAGGGGCACGCACGTCTTATTACGCTGATAGCTATCTCCATCGCGTTCACCCGACTCCGATCGCTCGATGTGATAACCGGCCGTACCGTTAGCCGTGTACAGCTGATAACCCGTATTACAGGCACAGGCATAGCCACCAGGCGAGTTGATACATTTCTGATCGCAGCCACCATTATTCTTAGTGCACTCATTGATGTCCACACAATCCAATCGCGTGCAACCCATGAGCTCCATGCGTATGCAAGGTGCGCCCACATAATCCTGAATGCGGAAGCGTATGTAGCGAGCTTCAATGGGCAGGGGCAGATTTAGAATGGATAGAGTAGGTTCCAGTATACGGAATTCAACAGCCGTGCCATCGGGGTTGGCGTAATCTTTGAAAACATCCGTCAAATCGTTTGTGTACTGCAGCCGCACAGCTGAACTGAAGGCCACATTGCCATCGTGGCGTTGGACAGACATGGTGCGGAAGCCACGCAGGATAGTTGGTGCCTTCAGATCAATGAGTATCCAGTTTGAGCCAGGCTCCATAGAAGCGCCGCACCAGCCCATAGAATTCAGACGCACGAAGCTCTTGCTGTAGCCTGGTTCGCTTGCCGAGGTAGATATGCTGTCGTCGGGTATGCCACCATTTCCCAATCCCAAATCGCCGACAGGCCTGCATTCGGTAGTTGCGGTGAAACCAGACCGACACTGGCAGTGGAATGAACCATTGGTGTTCATGCATTCAGTGGTCGTCAAATCACATTGGGACGAGCTGCATTCGTTGATGTCCTCGCAGGTTGGTGGATTCTCGTAGATCTGAGCCTCGCTACAGCGTATGATATTGCTGCCGATGAGCTTGTAACCCTTATAGCACTGGACACGAGCCTCATCGCCGAAATAATATGCACGCGCTGCATCCACTACAAAGCCATTGTCAATGGTGGGGAATTCATGGCAGCGCTTACGCGTGCAGCGTGGCACGTCGCCGCTCCAGGTGCCATTGGACATGCAGATAAGTACGGGATGTCCGTTGCGCTCATAGCCGGGATCGCACTCGTATTGAACTATGGTGCCATAGCTGCGTCCTCCTCCATTAAGCAGTGTTACGTTAGCATGTGAGACTTCTGGGAGTGGAGCACACTGTGAAGCCATGCAGTTGGGTTGGCGTTCCCAACGACCATCGGGCAGACAAGATATCTTCTCTATCGGAGCGCCTGAAGCAAAGGCAAAGCCGGCATAGCACTGGTACATGGCAATACCGCGATAGGTTACGTTCGAGGAACCAATGGAGAAACCATTGTCGATTTGTGGTACTGGACCGCAGTAGACCTCTGAAAAAGTAGATAGACATACATATATTGACAGCCTTTCTTTTTTAGAAATAAGTCTAATAGACACCCACCTTGACATTTGGGTATATAAGAGACGCTCCAGTTGCCACCGTGCATGCATTCCGTAACCAAACGCGTCTTGCCCGTGGCAAATTCTTGGCCAATCGGACAAGTAAAACTAACGACTGTACCGAAAGCTGTATCGCGACTAGAAGCCAAGGCGCCAATGCCCGGTTGAAGCTCAGGACAATCGGCTGAGAAAGTAGCTGACCAACTAAAATAAAACAAATTAAAATTGCATGTTACATATTTTGGAGTCTATTGGCCATATTAGTACTCACCCAGCAGCATTGTGGAGCGCATCCGATGTAAACTTGATCAGCATTTCGCCAGACGAGGCAGTCAGGGTCAGTTTTGGAGCAGCCGTGCCCGTAAATCCATTACCAGAATGCAGACGCAAGCCGGAAGTAGATGAGCCGTCATAGACCTGAACATTATCACTCTTGTGCACACTGAACTTATCAAACTTGAGGGAGAGGGGCGCACGTGCTCCATTTCGGATAGTAAAGTAACACTCCTGATTCTTGGGATAGTCGGCCAGTCCAAAGGCGGGCGAAGTAACCGTACCATTTTTAGCCGTAATCGTGGCCTTACAGCCCTGTATGTACCGCAAATTGAAACCCTTGCCTGCCTCACCCAAGCTAGACTTGAAATACAAATAGAGTGCATTTCCCGTGGAGATAATCACGCGTTCATTTTGCGTTGTCTGGCCTGTCAGTTTGGCAATGGTGCGACTCATGGGCGTCTCACCATCACGGATTAGCAAATAGTCGCGTCCCTCAGCCACATCCAAATCATCAACCTCAATGGAAATGATGCGACCTGGTTGTGCTTTAATCACATACAAGCACTCCAGACCACCGGGATATTGCTTAGGATAGTTGGGACTGGTCAGTATTTGACGCTGTAGTGTGGCCTTCAGGGTGCCGCCACAGGTCTTAGCCTCGGTTTTCCAAGTGGCTCTGAAGCCCTTGCGCTCCACGCTGCCATCGGTCGTGAACTTGACAATCATGAAGTTAGAGGCAGAGACAAATGGCTGTGTGGTCAGGTCCTGTTTACCGCTCAGTGTAGCTAGAGAAACAGACTTATCCTCGGTGCGGCCACCCACCAGTATCTGTACGGTGTCGAAGGTTTTCTCCGTTTCAAAGTCCTGGAACTGCAATATGATGTTGCTACCCAGTGGGCCTTCCAATGTCCACTTGCACTTGCTCAGCGCTCCATATTTATGCGGATAGTTGGGTGTCTCAATGACATCGCCGCCCGACTGCATGTGGTAATGGCATTGGGCTGGACAGTCCAGCTCATCGGTACCATCCCCGCAGTCATCGCTGCCGTCACACTTGAAGGCCTGGTTGATGCACTTGCCGTTCGCACAATGTAACGCACCCTGCGGGCAGGCAGGCGCACGGCACATGAAGGGCAGCAGCGACTCGCAGGTGCCCAGATCCCAGCTCTGCGATTTGCTTGCGAAACTAGCTGCCACACATTCACCAGAATGCGCATCGGGCTGGTGCAGAGACCAGAAGCCCGAGTACTGGGAAATAAGAGCACCCGAAGCAGACTCTAAGGTATTGGTGCGCAGATCATCCAGTGAGGCCAGACCCAACCAATACTTGTCCGACGCCCGCTGATTGGGATCGCTGGCGCGCGCTATGGCCAGGGTTTCATTGTTCTCGGCATAAGTGTCGATGGCCACCAGTTCGGCGCCATATCTGCAATAATCCAGAGGATGTAAACGTTTAATAAATAGTCTCGGTCGCTCTCTCTATCTCTCTGTTTGCTCAGTGGTTTCTAATGAGACCCAGCCAGCTTCCGCTCATTTAACGTAATTTCAATTACCCAGCTGCATTTTTCTAATGCGCTTGACTTTCTATTTTCTGCTCTTCACCGCTGACTTAATTATAATGCCCCGAAATTATTACAAAGCGACACCACACAACAGACTCTCAATAAAAGCGCACCCACTTTCTCGTTGGCCTCTCAAGTTCTTTGCCAGCTAGAAAAACTTGTTTAGACCCAAAAGTATCTCAAAACAGCGTCTTTGTTGCTGGCACCTACCACAATTAAATTGCAATTACACCAATCTTTTCATTCATTCATATACAAGTACGTTGCTTCGATTGTTGCGCAGTCCAAGCATTACGCATACGCTGCGTATGCCCATATGCTGCTCAAGACAGCCTTGCGTGCTTAGCTATCTCTGTAGCTGTATCTGCGGTATTTCGAGCATTGCATGCCAAAAATTACGAATACATTTAAGTTACAAGTATATGGTCACTTGAAGTGCGTGCAGCATGTCTCGCATTTGTTTGAAAAGTGAAAAGCTTGTACTCTGGTACAAGTATATGTGCTGTGTAGGCTTTTTCCTTTTGTCTGTTTTATATGGCTAGGGCGTGTTTATGTTAAGCGAAATTGGTTTAACTTGTTTAGCTTTTCATTGAGTGCTTTTATCGCTTGCATTGTTGATGTGGCGATGGCCATATGGTTTGAGGAATTTTCACTTGAAGTAGCGGGAAAAGTGAGTCGTAGGCGTCAAGAGTTTACAAATAAAGTTTCTGAATTAGGATGAGGTATGTATAAAGAAGAAATATATACCGCTAAGTATTTATATGGGAGTTCTAGTCCTTTGATGTTAAAACTAAGGATTTTTAAAGTGTTCAACAAACTTTTTTAGCAGACTCTTAATCTGAGAAGCAGAGCCGTCTTCCTCCAACTTAGAAGAGCACATCTCTTATTACTGGTATATATAGTTGCCTTGGTGGCGAATTTACACAACGCGAAGACGGAGAAGGAGAATGTCGAATATCAGTAGGACAGTGCTCTAAAATGTATGGTGTCCCGTTTTAATCATTTTTAAGTATATTTAATCATCTAATTTCCAGCTTTAAAAGTATTGTTTGAAAACCCCAGTCCATTAACCGATCTTAACCTTTTCTTAAACCTTTATCATATACTTGTATTTAGAAACAAAAGATATTTGATCAAAAATAAATATTTTAAGCCGATGTATTGTAAACATTTTAACTATCCATAAACATTCTAAAAAGGAAAATCTTTTTGCAGAATGGAATTCGAGTCTACTTTTTATAGATGGTTTTCTAGTTTATTTTTCAGTAACTAAGCTATTAGCTTTTTATTTAGAATTAAGATTCTCTCTTTCATTTATTTTTTTTTAGATTGACTTTTTCATTTTTTAATTTTTGTTTGTTCAAGTCAAATAACAATTCCAACCACATGATGATGACTAATAATTTTAACACGACATTTTTTTAGTTTTTTTGATGTTGTAAGTTAAGTGTTTACTTTAAATATTTAAAAGCATAGCTTATTATACAAATGCAGTCTAACTGTAAGGACTGGATTATAGGTTAGGTACATATGGTTAGGTAGGCCGGTAGACCTATTACCTCAGACTTTTCTTTAGCTTTTTCTTTTCATTTACTTAGCTCCACCAACGCGCCCTACCGACCCTTGCATTCGCACTTTCTTTCATGCCGCACAATTCACATGCCTGGCACGCAAAATCGTCATGAAATTTCACCAAAAAAAAAAAAAAAAAAAATCAGATATTTCACATCATGTGAGGAGTTAATTCCGAGTAGGTACGACACCTGTCATCGGCGTTACTTTTTGTTATATTTTTACGGTGCTTGCTTCTTTTTTTCCGTTCGTGTGTTTTGTATTTTTGGCAAATCTGTATATGGCGTTAACAAAAATAGTTAACAGTTTCGTTTTGTTTGTCGTTTGTTGAACCCGAAGCGTAGCGTAAGCCGCATTTTAATTGCCCGCTCGAAATGCTCGCCTCTGCGCTCTTGGCTTTGGGGACTAACGATAGGTGTTGGGCGTTAGAGGTCTATGGCATGTAAATTACATGACAAATGCAAAACACATACTTGTATTTGTATTTTCAGTTGCAATTGTTGTTAACTGACGACGTCTCTATGACAACTATTGAACCATGTGCCGGGCATACTAATAATTGCCTGCTCACTCGTGTGGCAGAGAAATTTGCGTAGGGCATTGACATTGGTTGTTGAATGTTGTTGTGCTGCTTAGAAACACTTAAGTAAATCAGGTGTGCGACTAATCAGCGATTTTAAAATGTGAGCAATTTATCAATTTTCGAGCTGTGATAAGCAATCAACAATTAACTTTCACCCCACCTGGCCCGCCCAGCAACTAGTGCAAGATTCTCACGCTCATTATACAAGTAAAAACAAGTCGAAGCCAAAAGACAAAATCGAAGTTCAAATCAAAAGAAAAGACACAACACTCTCAGTTTTCAGACCCAGCAGGGCCCAAAAACGAACTCTGTCTGAGAAAAGTAAGTAAATTATTGGGCAGGTGCAGGCGGCCGTCGCCGATTCGATGGCCAACCGACCAGTCGTAAGTATTTGGGTCAACAACAGGTTAACACCCAGCACCGTGGCGACGCAGCATGTTTGGAATGTCGGAGCTTCGAATAAACTATAAGTGTACGTATAAACAGAAAATTTGTACCCAGCGCCGGAAGCTTTTCAACGCCGCTGACTTTCTTTCTTTCTTACATGCCTGCTTTCTTGCGTTTCTTTCCAACTTATGAATCATCAATATCGATTTGGCTTATTGATTGCTGAAGTCTTCATACGTATATAGCAAGTGCTCAGCCGAGCCTGAACCGACCAATTGTGGCGCGTAATTGTCGAGGCAAGAAAAACAACACAATTTCAAACTTGGTCACTTGTCTTCTTTACTTTTTGGCCCGACATTGACAGTTAGCCAGCGGAAATGCACTGCGAATGTGGTGTGCTGTAACGGCAAATGCTCGCCTCAACCGCACTTGGCCAAGAACCGCAGTGGGGACTGCCTTTTATGCACTTCTTGCCTCATCAGAAGCAACAAAGACACGCCCACAACGGTCATGACCGGACTTGCCTTAACTTGCCGTCATTTCATTTGTTTCGAACCAATTTTGTTGAACTCACCTTCGACACAGTTCGGCGCTCTTCTCCCACGAATGTTTTATGTTAAAATATTTATAGCAATTCAAGCCGCGCAGCTCCCAACCTGCAACAAAATAAATAAAAATGTTAATCAAAAAGCGACAGAATTAACTTTTGCATAGTATTATGTAAATTCAAAGATTATTGTGGTTTTTCTTTGTAAAGCAACAAAACTCGAAATGAAACCGAACAGCAATTTTCAGCTTTATTTGCAAATATCCATTTTATTTCATGGTTTCGTTTCATGTCTGTGATTGGTTCTGCAGAACAAAACTCAAAATGGCAATATTTAAAACAATATAATTAATTACCGGCTCTATAATTATTTGTTTTTTTAAATAACAACAATTGTTATCAGCCGGAACCAAAAATACTAAACAGTTGCTTTACGAGAGGGAACATTCCAAAGACTTCACGCAAGTAACAATTGAGTTACGGTGAGGAATTATTTTATTTATTTAATCAGAAATTGTATTTTTGGTACGACTTTTTCAGTATTTTATTAGTTTATCACCAATAGGATTATCCCATGCAATCCTTTTCAAATTCGATTATTAATTACAACAGTCGTTTTAGCTTCACTCACAAGCTACAAATGGATTATTTTGTAGATTAATTTTTGATCGAGAATGATGAATTACATTTAATGGGGACTACATTAAATTTATAGAAAACTGAATAACGTATGCAGAAGGCCATAGATGCCAGTGCTAAATTTTCGAAGTTATTTAAAGCAATTTAATTTGTGAACAATTCTCAACATTCACATAATAAATTCGAAAGACCCGGAATCATCACCAACGGTATTACTAGCAATTAATTTTATAAATACTATACCATACTATTTAGACAAACAATTAATCCCAAACTTATTAGTTGTATATCATAAACTTAGGCCTTTTAATCATATAGAATAGCAATTTCAACTTATAGTAAACAAATATAAGTTGAATAATTAACAAAATAAAGGCCCAGCTATTTAATTAACAAACCAAATCGCATTTGAATTTCTTAAAATTGTTTAACTCTTTTCAATAATACCATAATTTATACCTACTTTATACACAAATTATTCTGAATATACAATTTGTTAAGCACAACCAGTGCTGCTGGATATCCTATTCAAAACAAAGCCTGTTTCCTTCTGCTTAATGCTGTTTTGTTGAATCGTTATAATAGAATTGAATTTCAATAAACACAATCACTATTTTTCTTAAGTTAAAGCTAAGAAGCTGTGAGAAAGTATACAAAAAGGCATAAAAAAAGTATCATGTAATAGGTAATCGTTATAGCTCCCATTTCCGATTATATTTGTTTTTAGCATTTGTTTTTGAAGTAGAACTGATTGTGATGATCGCCTTCTTTAATCCCAAGCTTAAGCGCTTGTTTGATTATCAAAATACAATATATTTCTTAACACGAAACATACTTTGTGATTACACATCAAGCATTAGTTTAAAACTCTGTTTATCTTGCCGCTCTGTTACGTTATAGAGTTTTGAGTGATAAACTTGTTAAAAATTGCCAGCAGACAAGGTCAAGTGTTTTGTCTTGTTTTCGCACTCAACGTTGGAAAAACTGAACGCCACTTTGTTGAAAATTTCACCTACAAAAACACTTTCTTTCTCACTCGCTTTGGTTGCATTTTACTTGTATTTGTAGTTTTTGTGTCTTGGCCGGCAGTGCGTGCCGCAACTTTCCATTAGGCGCCCAACACATTGGCCAATTGCACCTTTTTCTTGAAATTAAATCAAGTGGTGTCTGAAGAGTGAGAAAAAGAGAGTGAGAGAGAGAGAGAAAGAGTCTCAAACAGTGCCAAACACTTGGCATTCGTGCTTCTTGACAGATCTTTGACCCAAATCTTTAAACAGAGAGAAATATCCAAGCAACTCGTTTTGCATAATGAAGCTTAAACATTTAATTTGTTCAGCATGGAGTTTTCTGTGTCAACATGTGGCATATACTCGTACGGCTATCTACTCGTATGTACTTGTGTAGAAAGCCATGCTGCACAGCTTTAATTGAGTTTTGCCCCCGACTCGCTCAGTTTCTGCTCTTAAGTTCGTGCCTTGATTGCTACATTTGTACTAATTAACAGGGAGACTAAGTTAAACATTTTGGCTGCTTTCGTTTTCTAAGTATATGCATATATATATATAAATATATAGCTATTGCCTCTATAGGTCATAAGTTTTTCCTGTTACATGTTTTTCGTTTTTCGCCTGCAAAAGTTGGGAAAGTTGCCGTGGACGGCAGCTCGCCTTTTGTCAGCCTGATTGACAGCTTTCATTTAAAATCAAATCAACTCAAAAACATATATAAATGTATATATATATATATATATGCTGCATGTCTGCTGCTGTTGGTTTTGTTTATAATCATGGAAAAAGCAAAAGTATTTAAACAATTTTTATGTGCGCGCTCAAATGTTGTTGTCACTGTTTTGTTGTTGATGAGTTGCTGATGTTTGGGGCTTGGCTGGGTTGTTGGTGACGTCTGGTCTGAAAGTTGTTACAGTTTTTCAAAGCACACAACAGCTCTTTAGCTGCTCCAGACTTTCACGTTTTCCGCGTATTTAATGGCAAAGTGGAAACTGCAGACGCATTCGTAAACAGTCTCAGGGTGAGGCAGCAGTTACAGACAGCCAGCTGCGCCACAAAAGTGTCACATTTTGGCAAAAAAAAGTTAACTTGAAGCATAACAATTATATAAATTATATAATACAACCGAACTGTTGGGGTTTTGGGGCTGTTGCAAAAACAAAAAACATATAACTAAGTTAGAAATATAAATAGGGTACTGATAAATCGCACTAAGGTCAGTCACTTTTTGAACATTAGAAATAAAAGATTACCACATCCTTGCCTACTACTTCTTTATAACGAAAGAAACCACAAAGTGCAAGTGTTTGTTGTAAAGCTATCGCGCAGAAAATTTCTACAACATCTTTGCACAAAGCTTTGACAATAACTGCTCTAAATGGATTGAAAGACCAGTTGCAATTAAATTACTTTCCATTTCAGTAGTTTTTAGTCAAATAACAAATCTTAGCACAATTATTACTTTACTTCTATAACTATTACTATTCTATTACTTCCCATTGAATTACTTGGATTTAAAGAGCAGTTGCAATTAAATTTCTTCTCATTTCAGTTGTTTTCACTCAAATAACAAATCTAAGCACAATTACTATTTTACTTCTATAACTAAAAATTGTTTAAATATGCAGAAAATTGTTTAATTTTGTGAGTAACTTTTGTCGCTCTAGTAAGTTATGAAAATGTTAAACTTTTATGAATCACTTCTTTTCATAATTTAATAATGAACAGTGTCCCTGCTATGGTTCAGTTGTTGTTATGTAGATTATTTGAAAAAAGTAGAACTCACAGAAATGTTATTCCAATTTGTGGTTACAACTGTTAGTAGCACAAAGGAATTCTTAAAATTGTGTGTCTTTATCGAAGGCTGAGTATTTATTGCGGTGCTGCACAAAAACGCTTGATCTTTCATTATCAATAAACCGAGACAGAAAATAACGAGAACTGGTTCCCTTCATCTTGGACAAAGGATTTAAAAAACCCATAATAAATACTGCATTTTCCATACAAATATTTTCCTTTGAAAGTAATTATAATTTAATAAAATATTAGCTGATCTGAGTTGTAGAAATATTCAGAAAAGTCGTCCGAAAACTTATCAATAAATAAAGACAAGAAAACAAAAGGGGGGCAACAATATTTTTGTTTGGTTAAAATTAAAGGCAGGAGCAATTGCCAACCTTGCCCTCCTCAATAACGATAATAGAATGAGAAAACGATTGAAGAATATAAACAAATAAAGTAATTTGAATTATTTTCCAGGACTTAAAAACGGTATTTTGGAATGTCAGAATGACACCCAAGTTCAAAGTATTCAACATTTTCATTATATACTTAAATTTTTATATTCAAAAATTTTAAAATTAATTATCAAAAACTTGTGCATTTATTATTAAATATTAATTAATATATATTTTTTAAAATTACACTGTGTATTAAAATTAAAATAACTGCAAAGTTATTCTGCATTTTCTTGATAGTATTTTTGCTTTAAATGTTGACAGAAATGAATGGCTTTTTCCGCAAAGAGCTTTAACCCCCATGATGAATTTTCATAACAACAATCATTAGTTGAATCGACTGCCGACTCAATTGACTTTCCGTTCAATCTTTTTGGAAATTTGGGTCGCGTTTAATGGTTCTTGCCAACTCATACGAGCGGAATGCCTCACCAAAGCCCCACAAGAATGTATGCACGGCCCCATCAATCTAGCAATATACTCGTATATACTGTACACCCACTATTCAGCCTCGATTAAAGCGGCTCACTGTCATGTTGTCGCATGTCCGCCCAATTCTTGCAATTTACCGTTTGCTTGTCTGGTCGCTCGACGCTTCTTCGCTCATTCGTTTGCTTAACCAACTTCTGTGCCGCTATTTGCCACAATTTCAATTTATTTACTCGTATTGCTGCTATTTACCGCAGCAATTATTTGTATTTGTGTTTGATTTTTTTTTTTTTTTTTGTGAAGCCAAACCCCTTTGGAATAACCGTACGCTGTTCCACTTAACGAACAAAATAAAGAAATAAATAACGAAAAAAGGAAAGAGTATCGCTCCGTTTGCTGCGCTGCTGTGCGGTTCGGTTCGGTTCTTGCTTTGCGCTTCAATTGAAATCAGAATCAGTCGCAGCACAAGTTCTTACAACAGGTCCGAAAGACTCATGTAATTGTTTTTAATGACCAGCCGCATAGCTAAACATATATATGTATAGATGGTGTATATATATTTACAGGTATGTACAAGTATATGTAAGTAACCACCCGCTCTTCAACCATGACAGTTGAATGTTTTTGCTGCTCTTTTGTAGAAATTCTTGTGGCTCTCTGGCTTGAATTCAAGCCACACCAACAACTGCCAAGGTTAGCCGCTTTGCTCTAAAGTCTTTGTTTTGCATTAATTTGCATGTCGTTTGCAGCTAACTCAAACACACACTCACACACACATAGAGCACTGAGTGTCTTTG